AAAGAATGAGCAAACCACACCAGAGCACCCAACAACCACTCACTCTTCGCCCTTGACACAAGTATCTGCAAGAACGAGCCGATATCTCTTGGTGCACGACGGTGCACAATACACACATGTAGTTTTATTCGTTTACCAACGTCTCTCTTTTTTGCCTAACTCATCTCATTTCTCTCTTGTGGACACTTTTTCCACGCTGTAATAAGTTGTAAAAGAACGGAGATGTTCGTGAATCAGATCGAACAGATGTAAATGTCATATTTTCACTTTTTAAACCTGCTTTAACCAGTCTAATACTTCCTTGCTTTCTCCATACCATTACCACCTTCTTCTTCTTCTTCTTCTTCTTCTTCTTCTTCTTCTTCTTCTTCTTCTTCTTCTTCTTCTTCTTCTTCTTCTTCTTCTTCTTCTTCGTCCCCCCCCCTCCTCCTCCTCTCCCTCCCCCTCCTCCTCCTCCAGTGTCAGTTTGACCTTTACCACAGTCCACAGTCCCAAAATGTGTGAATAACACCCTATAATATTTCATCTTTCCTTCAGTGCGGAGCTGCTCAAGTCCCAACAGAAGGAAGACGCGGACAAGGAGAATTTCCCCGCCAGGGGGCGTGGCAGCCTCTTCAAGAGGAAGTCGTCTAGACGGGCCAAGTCGCTGGGGAAGGACCATTGGGACGAGGTGATGTTCGGTGAGTTTGTTTGTTTGTTTGTTTGTTTGTTTGTTTCTGTGTCTGTTTGTGATGCTTAGGTCAGTGGGTTGTTGGCGGGTACTCTGGTGTTGTTTGCTTGCTTCTCCTTTCCTATCAAACGTCTGTCGTCCTTATCTCCTCCCCTCCTTCTATTTTGTGTTTGTTACTCTCTTGTAACACCTCTAATCTTCGGCGTGGTTGGCGGGTGCTCTGGTGTGGTTTGCTCCTTCTTTCCTATAAAAAATCTATCATCCTTATCTCCCCTCCTTCTTTTCAATGTTTGTTACTCTCTTGTAACACCTCTAATCTTCGGCACTTATATGACCTTATTGTGTTGCAAATGCCGTAAAACTCTTGCAAGAACATCTAATCTTCGGCACATATATTATGACCTTATTGTGTTGCAAGTGCCGTAAAACTCTTACTAAAAACTGAACGGATGCTTAGGTCTCTCTCCTCTCTTATGTCCCCACGTGCTGTCGTTTCATGTTTGAGGATGGTCGCCATTGGAGTTTATAGCGCGGTCTTCTTTTTAAGTGGGGTTTTTTATTTATTTTTTTATTTAT